AAAGCAAACACTCGTTAGCATAATGGGTAACACGTGACCCTCTGGGAAATGTAGTCGCGGGTTCGAATCTAACATGTGTTCCAAATTTTGATCGTATCTAAGCATCCTTGTGGTTTCCAAAAGTTTTAATACTCGAGATTTTCTTAAAAGAAGAAGTAATAGATGTCATGTTTTCTTCTAATTCTCTTACTTCTTCATGTTGTGCGGATTCCAGGACTTCTTTGACTTGATTCGTTTCCTCACATCTGTCACCAACAAACGTCTTCGGATTTGGGAGAGGTTCGGCTACTCCTCGAGGTCGTCTATCTTCTTCATGAATACTGTTGAATGCTGATCAAGTAATTTCTCCACAGAATTCACTAATGGCACTGCTTGAGCTTTCCCGTCATCACAGGCACAGGACAGCCTTTGTTTAGTGGAGGGAGCATGATGACATAGTCAGTTGAAATAGAGCAAACCATATTTTCATGTGCTGAGTCAATCCGATTTCACTATCACCTATTGATGAATTCCTCCTTTTGTGGCTAAAAACAATGGTCACGAACGATTGTAGAAGAAATTCGTCCAGAACTGAACAACTGTGAGAAATTTTTCTTCTTTTTTGCTTATTTTTCGCAAACGAACAAAAAAAGGGAGGAATTATTTCTTTCCAAGAGCAACATAACAGTACATATCATACCTACTCACTCGCCCACTTGAAGCTGAACTTGAATGGTAATTTTTTATTGGGAGAACTTTCCATTCGCTAGAATCTTAAGATGAACCTCTAAGTAGTGAAGACATTGAGAATTTGATATCTTTTAAAGTTTCTTTCTGTTTCAGTTTGATGTAGGCCATTCATATGTGTATTTCAAATATCTGTGTTTTCTTGATCTACTCCATAATTAAAGGGGCGCTTGTAGCGCAGTGGTAAGAGGCGCTTTGCAATACACATGGCATCGATCACCGCACCCAAGACCCACCAAGCCCTCCATCCCTGTGGGGTCGGCAAATTGGAATTGTTACCAGACTTGTCTGGGAGGATACCAGCAGTGGCTCGATAGGCCACCACGAGTCATCGTAAAGGCCACATGTGCATTCAATCTCCTCCAACGACGCTTAATGAAGTCGAATGCATGGCGCATCCATCAGAGATTTATCAACGCTAGGGAGTTTATCCGTTATCCTTTTGCTCCATAATTGATGAAACCTTTATTTGAAAGTTATTCTAGGCACGAATCTTACGATACAAAGGGGAAAGCCCATATAGGCGATATATGGTGATCTTAAATGGTTGGAATGGCACCATGCACTTCTATTTTAAAAGTACTGATGAGAATACATCGCGGATTCGAAAAAATTTGGGGAACGTTCTTATTTTTGTCAGGAAACCTAAATAAAGTGTTGAGCAATTTTGTTTTATTCGTTTTACACAACTCGTCTTCACACCTACTGTAAAAGTCCCATCACTTCTTGCATTCTTTTCGTTTCTTCGCAGCTATCGTCCACGAAAGTCTTCCGGCTTTTCGATTGTGGCTTCGACTAGTCGATTTTCTTCTTATTCTTATTAACTTCTTATTAACTAGACAACGTAACGAAATATTATACAGAGAATAACTCGAAAGACCGACTTTCTATAAACCTCGACATAGATAGTTGATATATTTATTTATGTGATCTTATCCGCACGTAACATCACGGCTTTGAGGAAGGCGAAGTCGCCGAAACGTCAGCCATCGACCAACAAGAACAACAACAACAGCAACAACAACAACAACGACAACGACAACGAAGACCTATACCGACCTCGCATCAGCTAAAGAAGATCAGCTTATTTAACACTTTGGAGCCAAGACATAAATCCGTGTGGCCGACGCATCTACTTTACGTTTAATTCGTTCTTGCAGAGAATAAATAGCACATCGATAGTGATGATGAACACCACGAGCATGGTGCTGGTTCGATCACGATCCGAGCTCACCACAATTCTCATCCCCCAAGCTCGGAAAGTTGCTACTGGACTTGTCCGAGAAAACTGCACTTTCTGCATTCCACATGGGAACGGTGTAATCCGGCTATCCCATGACGTCTTTTAGAATCAACTCGACCACTATTCAACGACATTCACGATGGAAGGAAAATTGTCCAAGCAGCAGCCGAAACTAAACGTAAAAAGTGAGAAGACATTCGTGGATGACGGATGCGAGGAAACAAATCGAATGTGGGAAGTGTTGGGGTCCGCACAGCAGATGTTCGGGATGGGCAGTAAAAAAAGGAAAAGATTTTTCCGTACGCTCTCTGTGAGTGAATTTACACTCACGTCGGTCCCTAAGTGTTAACATTCTTGTGATGTTTATCCGAATTTTCCTGATGCAAATGACGTTTTTCTAAAATGTATCGGAGTTGGAAGTCTTGCGAGAAATTGCAGCGATTTAGAGCGGAATCATTTTACCGCTACTCATTTTAACAGACCGTTTTCTAAAAATCCTTAAAATATAGGAGCGTTGCTCTTTTTTCCTATGTAAATGAACATGTTCGTCATAGAGAGCACCAAGTTTGACTCACTCAGCTAAATTTCTACAAATGCTTGTTTACTTCTTATTCATTCACGTGCATAGCGTATGTTGCGCAGTGGATAGAAGTGCTTTGCAATATGTATGGCCTTTGATTCAGTTTGGAACCCCGAGATAATCAAACCTTCCCCGCGGAATCGGAAAATTGGTAGCGGATTTTACTGTGAGAACAAATATTGCTGACTTAATGCATCATTAGGTCTCCAGAAGCCGCTTTGTAGCCAAAACATGCATACAACCACAAGACTCGAGTCGAATGCGTGGCTCATCCGTAAGGATTTCATCAACGTCGAACGCTTTATTTCCTCTCCTTTTCTTTACATGACCTGTCTCCGCATCCTTAGATCCGTCGCCATCTAACAATTGTGGATGGTTTTGAAGATTTTGGCCTTCTTCACGAATGTTGTTGAATGCTGGTCGAGTACTTTTTCCTAGAGTTCTTGGATAGCATGCTCGAGAATCCTCAGGTCTTCACCAGAAGTAGTGGTCCATCTTTATGGATCAGAGGAGAGAGGTGGTTTTTGCAGAGAAGGCTAATCGCACTCTGTCTACGGGATGTATTCCAAGGCACATCTAACCGCTGCGCTACCCGCATATATAGTTCTATATGACGATACTTGATACTTGAATGGCCCATCCTCACTGGTTGTGTGGGGCCCCAGCATAACATCTATTTTTCGGAGATTTGTTGGTTAAGCCACTGTGGTTCCCTGGAATCCCCAGGTCAGCCTGGCCAAAGACTGCCCCAATTCTTCACCACCATCACAGGCAGTCGCAGTCCTTATGGATCAAAGCAAGATTTGCCATTATGGGACCAGCTCCATACCAGGACGGTTGTGGATCTTGGTGTTGATTTACTCTTAGCTAGCCTTCCTGATGGGAATCCCGGACTCCTTCTCAGATTGGGAGACCATGCCAGGGGGATGAATCCCCCAATGTATATTTCAGCGCGACAACCAGGAACCCCTCCCAGCTACGATGATGCGGTAAACCGTTGGGAGGTATATGACAATAGGCATATGAAAAATAGTGAGAGATGAAATAGAGCGAATGGGTCCAAGTTATGAATCCCTCTCCTTCCTGTTCAGAACAAGAACAAAACAATCAAGTGCTCTTGATACGTAATGGAAAAGGAACCCTTCTACTATTACTCTACTAGGGGTTGGAAGTTCTTCCGTCGTTTCCGCATTCTCAGTGAACTCTTTGGAATCATGGATCGACCTAATCCTTACATACGCTTGAACCCCGTCATAATAGGTCTACCCTGCCTCATAACCACACGAATGTTGCGCCCCGATCAGTGGCCGTACACGTTTTGTCCGGTAAAGGAATAGCGTTGTCTGCAATACAGAATTCACATTTAAATATGCGCTAACTTCTCTGTTAACTTATCCGTTGTTGCTTAGCTAAGCTAAAGCTGTTGTTTCCTATTCTAATTTTTCATTAGGGAGGTTTTATGTCTAAACCCTTTTTTTTATTTTTTAGAATCGCATGTTGGCGACTCACTGTAGGTGGTTTTCCTTGCGCCGCATAAATCGTCTTTCATTTGTAAATTATGTGGTATTTTTGACTATTATAGGTTTTTCCTCAATGTTTGTTCAATAGCTCATAAGGGTTATGGAAAGAGAAACAATACATAAGCAAAAGAAGTTGGGAGGCAAACTGTTTAGGAGGAAGTCGACCAGCAGGACATGGAGAGAACGTTAGTTGCGTCAGTTTTTCTAAAAATCCTGTTAATAAGTCATGTTAGTCGAATTTTGAGACGTCCTGTCAATGATGTTGGGCTTTATGTTTTGAAAAGTATTAATTTTAAATTATGGTTGAATAAAACTTTTCTAAGAAAGATATTTTATGTTGTTGTTCAGTGATAACCTACAATGTTTAGACAAATTGAAGACTGCCGAAAAACGTGAGAAAGCTCTACTGACTGCTAACGAGGAAGTGAAGCAGCTCAAAAATTGTGCTACTGAGCAGCTTCATCGAAAAGAAGGTGTGTCGATGTTGATCCATATTCGTTTACGATATTCTTAAGTAGTGCACGTGTAGCGCAGTGGTCGGAGGCGTCCAGCAATACAGGATCGACTCCCCACCTCCGTGGCTCACCAAACCTTCCATTCCTCCGGGTTCCCCAAATTGGTACTAAACTTGTGTGGGGGGATAGCAGCACTGGCTCAATACATCTGTAGGCCACCGCGAGTCATCGTAAAGGTCTAATATGCAGTCAGTCACCTCCAACGATGCTTAGTGAAGTCGAATGCATGACGCATCCCTCAGGGATTGATCAACGCCGAAAACTTAATCCTTTATCCTTTTATTTTTCACTCAATAATCTACCTGAGACAGTGTAAAGGTGGGATTTTTGTAATTTGAGGAAACAAATACTCGATTTCGTTCGCAATTCCTGGATCATTTCTCAATAATGCACAAAGCGTTGAGCTTCGAACCTATATGGCTGGTCAGGTGCTTATTTTAACAACATTTCGTCTTTCATCTTCTCACTTTTCAGTTTTTTTTTTCGTTTTCGTCTTGCCAAGTATTGTGAGAAAATAGCGGTTTAGATTGCTCGAGCAGCTACACTTTTCTGTGTGGATGACGTGATCGTTTACGACGAGACTTGCAAGATGAAGAAAGAGTGAGTATTTATGGTTTCATACAAGTTTAGAAGCCTGATGTAACTACTCTAACTACTCTTTACACCTGGTTGCTTTTTAAATGCACTCTTCCCCTCTCTCCCGAACCTAGTCGCAGGGCACCCCGAGCATCCGACACGGCACCCATGGCCAAGGCGAAACCAAATCCTCGACGAGCCTTCCCGGGTCAACCATTGAAGCAAATGTGCAACAGTGATTATCCTTTGGACTTCCATCTTTTCGTTTACTCTGTTTTAGTCTCTTTAGGAATGTCGATGCATACTGGTCAGGAAGGTGGAAAGGGGAAATAATCCCATCAAATTCAAATTTTGAGGCATGCTTCTATTTGGCGCGGATCTTGGAGTATATTGAATGCCCACAATACCTCCGAAAATACTTGTTTCCGTTCCAGAAACCCCTTAAGTATGCAGGTTAGTTAAACTCGTATGTAATGGTCCTTTTCTTTTTTATGTACCATATCTCTCTTCATGTCGTGTTCTACCGTACTGACTTTCCGTGAATTTGAGTGCTAGTAAAGTATGGGTGTTGTGTCGGTCTTATGATATAGTATAGTTTTGAAGCATCTATTACTTAGATCTAAGTTGAGTGTGTATTTCTGTTGTTTTCTCTTTCTGTTTGAAGCATTGGGGGTAACACATAATGCTTAAACAGTGTTCAAGCTTATAGGTTCATTCCGTTTGGGCTTCGAAAAAATCGTCTAATTTCGGTGAATTTTCATTAATTTTTGCTAAAGCAAAAAAAAAGGAAACAGTTATCTCAGGTAAGTTCATTTGGGAGAACAGCAAGCTCTAGGTTTCCGTGCCTTTTCTGAACCCAGAATTCATGTTTTCATACGATGAATGCTTAAAGCCGTTGCAGTTCGTGAAAAATACCATCTATTTCTCGACGTCGTTTTGTAGTGTGTGACTTATGAATGCTCAATATTTGAGGAAATGACTTTTCAGGCCTTCTGAACCCTCTTGACGCTCATCATCATCTTCGTAGTGACGACACTTCGATTCCATTCAGAGAAGGTGTCGTTCTTGATAAACCGACGAAGTCTGGTAGAGGACCACTGTGCGACATTGGTCTTGGAAAAGTACGCTTATTGTTTTACCTCCATGTTTTTTTCTTGGACTGCCGTTTTCGTTTTTTGCACAAGTAAACGTGCAACACATCAACTTAGCGAGAATTGCGGCGACCCTAAATGTGATTATACAGCTTATTATACTAGTTCCACCTATTTATTCGCGGTTATTCTTGTCACTGTTAAGCCATGTATTTCAATAGGAACTGGAACTTGAAGATGTAATACAACTTCCTGCTGGCACCAGAGTTACCGTTGAAGTCACAAATTTTGGAACAGGTAGCTTTCCTTCCTGTATGGCCTTTCTGCTGTTTTGAGTGGTAATATTTAAGATTCGAAAAGGTATCGAGGCAAGTTGTCCAGTGCTCGAAAAGTTCGTGAACAGTGCGGAAAGTACTGGGGCTATGCGGTCAAATTGGCAACCAGTTTGAAGGACGTGATAGATAGGTGGGTTCCTACCCTCATGTACTACTTCGTTGTTGTGATGTTTAGCCCACATAAGTTCAAGTAACCAAATCTAGATCAACTTTATGCTTGCTTCACCATAAAGTTGATCTAGATTTGGTTACGCAATTGTATAAAAATTAAATATCGCATTATAAGATAAGTTATTTCAGACGGAAATTCGATCTTATAGTTGGGACTTCGCCACGGGGTCAACCTGTGGCCAGTGTATTTATTAACACTATGAATTATATGTGAGTTGCATTGACTGTTTCTTTAACTTTCTAAAATTTCCAGTTATAGCTAATATTGATCGGCATCATTCTTAAAGCAGTCATTGTTTCCAGTTATATCGTTTTGCCTAGAAATATCAGTTGCAATGTTGTCTTTTTATTTGCTACCTACTGTAATTTTCACGACAAGGTATTATGTGACAATGCTGAGGTATTCGCAAAACTTGGCAGAAAACAAGCTGAGAGAAAGGCGGGTCAGAGACCTCAGTAATGAAGTGTGTAACGCGCGTACCTCGGAAGTAGTAATAGTGGTTTGATCTGACCTGGAGTCTAAGTTTTACGAACATTTCAGTATGACATCAATTGCGGTTATTTCTATTTTTTTAAAAATAATGTTCAGATGCCATATGTTATTGTGCTGATGTTTTTACTCCATAGATGCATGTATTTCTCGAACAGGGCTTGGAAATTTTACTTGTCTCCATCTTAAGACGTGTGCAGATCAGTTTGTAGGAATGGTTTCTTTTGCAGTTCCACTTCTTTCAGTAAAATTCTTCTGGTATTCGGAGGCGTTTCTGGAGTGGACGCTGCTCTTGAAGCCGAAGAAACGTTGAGAGAAAGTTGTGCTGAAGAAGCTTTTGACTGTCTGATTAACTCATTACCGTACAAAGGAACGAACAGCGAACGGGTAGAAGAGAATGTCTTTGTTACGCTGGCTGAATTCACGATGCGTTTACAGCAGTTATGTTCTTGACGTAAGCATCAGAATATTTATCTTTCTAGGTGTAATGTACTCGACTTTGTGATTTCATTTTCAGTTTTATAGATGCGTAGGAGTTCCGTTCGAGAATTTCAAACATCTTTCAACATTTTCAATTGTTAGGTTTCATTTCTTTTTCGCTTCACGTCTCATTATGTTGTATGACAAATGAACACTTTACTATTCACTGGCGATTTATTCCAGATGTCTACTTTGTCGTTGTTATTGGTTTTTGTTGTTTATTTGTTACGTTAGTTTAATAAAGACCTCAATAGTATTCAATGAAATGTTTCGCTACTGTCGTTATGGTGAATCCATCGAGGATTCGTACTTGTTGTGTTTCTCTGTTTTTCAATTTCTTTCTTCTTTCTTTTCTTCTTGATCTCAACAGTTCTGTAGTTTAGATCTTGCTATGTTTCCAGTGCTTTCAAGATTACTACATAGTGGGATGCGCTCAAGAAACGTCCGAATTAATGCGGTATGCATTGAAATCTGAAAATTTTTTTCTGTAGTTACCATGTTTTTAGGTGTCCAGGTAGATTTTTCTCGTTAGGAATGAAATAAAAGCAATGGATGTTATTAAGGGCATCTACTATGCTTTGTTATGGTTGTTTTAACACCGCCGTTATTGTCGAGCACTTTCAACACTATAGGTCATTTCAGTATGCAGTTCTAATGGGCTATAATGGTAAGCAGCAAGTTGACCAGACAGCTTTTGCTTCGAAAAGCACCTTCGGTGTGGTCACAACCAAAATGAGGTTCATCCGAAAAGGTTAGTTTGTTGAACGCTTTTGTAGAAATTGGAGCCAACCGGTTTTGATGTTTTTCAAACGCCTTTGTTTTCGTCCTTTCGTTCTCTTTATGATGTTGTTTATAATTCAATTTTCCGAAACGAAAAAATCAACAATTCGTGCGAACCTCTCCGGAGCTCGTAATAAATTTCACTTACGATATATTGCCAATGTAGGCTCAATTTCTTATAAAAGCCCAAGCGTAAGAGGTTTGCACTAGCTTTTATTGGCTATGAACATTTGAATTTTAAAGTTTCTTCGTCTTAGACGTTGGTTTTTCAAAACGCTTACGAATGCTTTGTCGCAATGTTGACTTTTCGTCTAATGATAAGCTAATGGATGAAACAGCTTTCTCGTTTTTCATGGCGAACATTATTACATTTTAATTTTTGGATCGATGATTTAAATTACCAGTTTATAAGGTGGCTAGAGTATTATTCTGTTTGTCAGGTTCATTGAAAATAGTGCATCTAGAAACGATTCTGTTAATGACATGTTATAACGAAGAGATAGCTGGAACGCGACAGAGATATGAGAAACTCGCATGTTTGAAGGATATGGTTGTTTTTTTTTCGGTTGGGCGATCTCTGCAATGTTGATTAATTATGATATAACGCAATTACACATTGATATTTCGTCTTCGGCGTCAACAAAGCAGTTTAAAATGTAACCACTTTATATTTACCGCTTATTCTTTTTTCATGGCAGGATCACCTGTATGACCTGTAGTCCCGTTGATCGTCGAGTGACTCGAGCAGCCGCCAGTAAATCTTCCATTTTTCTCTGTTGCGTGCAAGAGTAGCCCAACGGGTTCTGCTCGCTCTAGGGACTCGTTGAGCATCATATCTTTTTTCTAGGCTCTTCGTGAAGAACACTAACCATCGGGTTGGTAGTCTTCCTGCAGTACGTTTAACATCTCGAGGAATCCAGTCACTAACGGCTTTTGTCCACCAGTTGTCATTCATACGCATTACGTGTCCGGTCCACTTTATCTTCGACTGTTTGGCGGAAAGAACGGCATCTTTGATTTTTGATCGCTGACGCAGGTCGGAGCTTCCGATCCCATCCCCTACTTGTTTGAAACGGGATACTCTTAGCGTCGTCCATTCGACTTCGTGTTCAATAAAACTGAGTGATTTTTCATCCGTTTTACGCAGCGACCAGGTTTCTGACGCATACGTTAACGCAGGAAGTACTGTTGAGTCGAAAAGGCGGCCACGGAGTCGGGTGTTCTTTGTCCTCTTCACTATATTCTCGGTGTTGTTGAAAGCTCTCCAGGCTGCTCGTTTCCTTCTGCTCAGCTCTGGAGCTAGGTCGTTCATCATCTTGAATTTCCGACCTAGGTAGTTCATCATCTTGAATTTCCGACCTAGGTAGATATAACTGGAGCATTCGGAGATATTCGTTCCGTTGAGCGTGAATGGGGCATGCGAAACCAATCCGTTTTCATGAACATCGTTTTTGTCGAAGCCCAATCTTTCCACAGGCTTTATCAAAGTCGGCAAGCATATGTTCCGCTTGGCTAATGTTTGGTGTTATGACGAGGATGTCATCAGCATAGCGACGATGATGTAACTGCCGACTATCAATTTTCACTTCCATATTATACCATTCCAATGTTCGCATGACGTTTTGGAGGGTAGCGGTAAATAATTTTGACCAGATGGTATCGCCTTGCCTAACTCCTCTTTTGACGTCAATGTTAATATCATTGTAGAATGGTGATATCTTGGTTGTGAAATTTTTGTACAGCTCATGAAGAATCTTTATGTACGGAGTAGGGACTCCTTGACTATCAAGGGCTTCCAGGACCGCTTCGACCTCAGTTGAATCAAAGACCTTCTGTAAATCGATGAAATGAGACAGAGCGGTTTTTTGCACTCTCGCGATACTTCAATGAGCCTTGTTATCCCGTGGATGTGGTCCATCGTATCAAATCCTTTTCGAAATCTTGCATGGGCACATGGCTGTCCTTCGTCTAGTTTTCTGTCAATCCTGTTTACGATCACTCGAGTGAAAAGTTTGTAGACGACAGACAGTAAGCAGATTGGGGGATAGTTGCCGATATCGTGCAGGTCACCCCTCTTGAACAATAAGACGGTCTTGCTGGTCTTCCACTGAGTAGGGTGCTGAGTACCTTGCATTCAGATAGGCAGCGTGTGAAGAGCCGAGCCAGTGTGTTCACGAGGACTGGCGAGAGGTTCTTCAGGTGTTCTGTTCTTTTCCTGCTCGGACCTGTTGCTGTTCGATTTTTCACCGACGAAATGTCATGTCGGTTTTCGGAAGGGAGGACTGGTGCTACGACATATCCATCCTCCTTTATTTCATATGGCGGAAGGTAGACTTGGCTATTGAAGAGATCTGAGTAGTATTCGTGAATGATTTTCTCCATTGCCTTTCTGGACGCTGTAACTGTTCCGTCTGGGCGCCGGAGAGCAATCATTTTGGTCTTGTAATTGGCGAAGCTTCGGTGGTCTTTGCGAATGCTTTTCCCACTCTCTGTAGCTTCGACCATTACTGCTGCTCTTCTCTCTCTAAGATCTTCTTTTATCGCCTGTTTGTATTGTTTTGCAAGTTCGGAGGTTAGTTCACGGTTGCCTGCAGCTCGTACGATTCCACGCTGGCGTATCAGCTCGAGTGTTTCTGGAGGCAGACGTCTCTTAGTGACTTTCAAACTCTCAGCTTTCATAGCGCTAGCGTGAAGATGTTGAATGAACTGATCGTACTCTTCGTAGATGTTATCCAAAACGACATCTTCCCAACGGCCGACTAATGAATTGAATGAGTCCCAGTTTACGGTGGTTCTCGTACTTCAGTTTTTGATGCACGGAGGCGGTGGTCTGATCCTGTGTAGAATTTTGGGACAACAGCGACATCGGTTAGACAAAAACTTCTATTTACGATGATGTGGTCTATTTCGTTACAGTACTCTCCATTGGTAGACTCCCACATCCAACGTTGAGGGTGGTGCTTTTGGAATTGGGAGTTACTATGGATGGTCTTGGTCGTCATGATAAACTCAGATAGCCGCTCACTCTGTTCGTTCCACTCTCCATGTGACGCTCTTCAGCCGTTCTTCCTGGTCCAATCTTGGCGTTGAAATCTCCAATGATGACCTTGAAGAATGTATCGTCTTCTGTGTAGAACTTCTCTAAGTCGATATAGAACGCTTCGACTTCTTCTCCGTCATAGTTTGGTGTCGGCGCGTAGACGACGAAGATTGTCAGAGCCGGTACTGATCCACATCTTTTTCATCGTAAAGGTTCGATTCGGGTTGTGAGCCGTTCGAATGAATCGGTGTTCACGGACAAACTCGTGTTGGCGAGAACGCCTACGCCGCCGACTCCTCTACTGTCGCATGTTCCGAGGAACAGTTCTTCTCCGGTGTCATAGATGGCGTTGAAAAGCTGGTGTCTTCTCGTCTCGGCCATCGAGGACTCGTATGCAAGTGTACGTGCATTGGAGGTACAGATCGTCAGCTTAGTTCTTTGCGATCCAGTCAGCTTCCATTGGCCGTGAGATTTTACTTGCCACTTTGTACTCGTCCAACGCTGCGAAATTTGGGGTTCTTTCGGGGTCAGGGGAATGAGGCCCGTTTCTTTTACTTTGTTCAGCATTTTGATACCCACGTATAGCTTGCCGGGCTCTGAACGTGGAGGCTGGTTATACTCGAGGGTAGTCTGCCAGTCTCTCCCAGAGTGGACATGGAGTTTATATGTTGGAGGGGACTCTTAACCGCCTTGTATATACTTCCTTGTCACTTGTTTGTAGGCCTTTAGCCGAATTGGTTCGTAGAATACAATCCGCATAAACGAAAGCCCACCCACGCACGCATGCATGAATACGCCTAGCAAATACAGAAAGTATGTGCCAAATCGGCGCAGCAGAAACAGGGAGTCCATCCTCTGGATCCACGTGCGTCTCAGGGAAGTAGAGGTCGCTTTTCGTCCGCGATTAACCCTCTATCCTCTACTTGTGGAGGCGCCACGTAGCTTCGCGACTAACTGGCTCGGGATCCCTTATATGAGGGAGATCCGTGGTTATTAAATGGCAGGATCGAATGTGAAATATAACCACGATGATCTTGAGATATTTGCAAAACTCCGAAAGGCAGGTGTTTGCTGCGGGGATCGAACCTCGTTATTACTCTTTGCGAGGGCTAACGTGTTCACCACCACCAATGCGTGCCCTCGATTCGCCTTTCTCTCGTCCATGTTTTATAGGCGCTATTAGCAATCACCAGCACAACAAAGCAGTTTACATTATACGTAACATGCGTTGTTTGCTTTGTTTGCTCTACTGATTGGCTATTTTTTTTTCCTGCAGTTACTTCCCCTCTTTTCTTGATTTTTTTGAATATGGAAGAGCTTGTTCGAGCATTCGGTTATTCTTATCTCCCCTTCACTGTTCATATACCATCCTTATTTCATGTCTTCAGTTGTTTGTTCTAAAAGCTTTTCAACATTTATACCTGCTCATTATCTGGAAGAAACTATAATGATAACGGAATAGCTCGTTTTCACAAGTAAACGTGGGACTCCATTTCCATTTGTAAGAATTTGCCAGTCTTAATGTATGGGAAGAAGTTTACTGCCTTGCGGCTAGGTTTCTTACAGTGTAGCAGCAGCTTGCTTGATACTTCATACTTGAACGGCCCGTCCTCAACAGTGGTGCGGGCCCCAGCATAATCAACATTTTTCGGAGATTTGCTAATTAAACCGTTTTGGTTCCCTGGAATCCCGAGGTTAGCCTGGCCAAAGACTGCTCCAGGTCGTCACCACGACAGGCAGTCACAGCTGTTGTGGATCAGAGAGGGATTTACCACCATGCGACTTTGATACCAGGACGGTGGTGGATCCTGGTATCAGCCTACTCTTAGCTAGGCTTCCTGATGGAAACGCAGGACTCCTCAGCTTGGGAGACCCTGCTGGGGGACGAATCACCTCGCTGTACATCGCAGTCCGACATCCAGGAACCCCTCCCAGCCACAATGAGGCGGTAAACCGTTGGGAGGTAGCGGCAACTCCGGGAATAATTCCTGAGATGGATTTTCTAGGCATGAATAACAAACTTATTTGGTCTTACACAGTCTCCTTGCTGGCTTACGTCATTTTATCAATATGTATTTATGATGTTCAGTGGCTAGAGTTTCGACTACTGCGCTTTTTTTAAAGAGTCTAGTCTTATTATTATAACTTTTTATTGTCATTTTGTTAGCATTGTATAGCTTCGATGAAAATCTAGTATGTCAACCCCACCCTAGTTTATTAAAGAGTTGCATTGTTTCACTCTTAACTGGATTCCGCAATGGAAGCATCTGAATCCTATTAAATCCATAACAGCTTCTCGAAAAACTCACTGTTTTTACATGTTGGTCATGTAATTACCATAGAGTACTGCAGAAACGTCAGGTAGTGTTGTATTGTATTGTGTTTTTCTATGGAAGTATATGTATGCTGTTTAAAAACCTCGTGATTGCTAAACAAGAAAACGCTGTTTACAATATTTTACTATGGTCCATCATACAACAACACTGCTGTCAGTATTCAAGGGTGTTTTGCAAAATATGTTTATTTATTTCAGTATTTTTTATGAGGCGGGGATAGCGCACTGGTTAGTGATGCTGTTGATCAGAAAGCAAAGGCGTGGTTCGACCCCGCCACAACGCACTACTCCATCCTTTGTGGGAAGCCCCTTATTTCCGCTATCTCCAAGATTGCAAAGAATATTGACTGGACCAGCATTCTGCGACATTCATAAGGAGTGCGAAATCCTTAGCACCTAAAACAACATGCAAAATGTTTAAAGACCACTGTGGACGGTGAATGCAAAGGAATTCAAGAATCGAATTCAAGAAGTACTGGCATCCGAACAGTAGCTTGATTAGAGCGTGCGTAGAAAAAGAATAAAACTTCAGTATTTTTTATACTTGCACATTTTACACGGTAGCTATGATTCACGACAGCAATTTGATGGTCCACAGTTGATCCTCTTCTCGATGTGGCGTCTTCGTCATCGTACCGAGGCGGATCTTCCTCAGTGGAGCATTTTCTCATTCGTGCGGTGGTCTACCGAAGAAGATCTTTCTCGGTACGACTACGAACACGCCAGAGCAGTTAGAATTGAAATAATCTATTACTACTCACATTTGTGCTCATTCTAAAACCTTTTTTTCACACGTTTCTATTCCGACAATTGTATAGCACAACATCGGTGTTCCACAAGCTGTCGTTTGGTTGTAAGAAGTGTGGGAAAACAATTCTGTGTGCTAAAATAAGCCACAGAAAGTGAATCCTAGCGAACTCAGAACTGCCACATCGAGGAATTCGAAATGACTCCTATTGAGGTCAGCTCTATCAAGGGCGACCATGTGATATAAATTTGACTTTGCTGAGATATACAAAATTTTGTGGAAAATGAATTGTTTCTTTTTGTGAAAAAATGTCTTGCTTTCAAAGTTTCTTCTGCGGATTTTAGCTTATTTTGGGAAGAACTGTACATTCCTGAGTTGAATGAAGCTACAGTAGTAAACGGTTTCTTTCATGAGAATATATTAGGACAGCAAGGGATCTCGTTTAGCTCACGCAAACGTTGGCTTTATTTTTCAATCATTTGGATTGTATGAATAGTGGGAGATTTAATTTCTCAACTTTTTGAGGCGTGTCATAAAGTCAGTGAACCAGTTCTTGCTGAATACATTCTTTTTTAAGTCTTTATCCATATTCTCATCATGTTCAACCGACTTGGAATTGCTGGTAGGATGTCTGTCAGATAACATCCCTACCTCATTGTAGCGCACTGATAAAGTACATAGTGGATTATAGGGCATTCTTGTTTTCAATGTTTTTCTTCAATAAGCAGACACGAGGTTGTTAATATAGAATTTATTAGAGTACAATAGCTGATGTTTCGGCGGTTTCACATTCTTCATTGCTTGGAAAGGTCGAATTGAGATGTGATCTACTCAGCCAAACACTTTCATAACCCTGGCAGATAAAACTTGACAAATTTCTTTGTCGTTCGAAATCTGAGAAGAAACAAGAAAACTTGTAGCTTAGGGAGTTAGACGGACAAGCACCTGTTGACTGGCACTGTTTTTGTGACTAATGTGCCCATGAATTTGTTCAATCCAGCAACATTCTGGTAGCATAGCTGGGACTACTTGGTTTTTCACACTATCCGTTGCAACTGTGGTCGTTATAAGTGCCGTGACTTAGAATCATAGTCAAGTCGTCTTAACAAAGTGGAATTTCAACGTGAGCGTCGTTAAAGGTGATTGAATGCACATCTGTCCTATATTATGACTTACACTAACCTATCGATGTATCAGATCAGTGTTGCTATCCTCGCAAACAAGCCTGGTACCAATCTACGGACTCCTGAGGGGTGGAAGGCTTGGTGAGCAGAGGAGTGGGGTCGAACCAATGACCACGTGTGTATTGCAAGGGGCCTCTAAGGACTGCACTACAAACTCCCTTAACCCTAGGTAATATCATCTGTTTTTTTTTCTCAGTGCTGTCTTTTGAGTGAAAGCACGCGAGCAGTAATTTAGATTGTTTCATATGTCTGCAATCCACCAAATTCATGTTGTAACATTTTAAAGGGCAAGAATCATAGGTTCCTTTCTACAATTTAACGCTTGGCACACAGTCTATCACTTCTCATGATGCAGTGGTTAAGAAAGGATTGATAGACGTGTTTAAGTATCTCGTAAGAACAATGCTTGGCTGTTTTTCCATCTAACAAACTTATATTAAGCTCTTAAATTACTTGTCGATGTACACTTTTTTCTAACTTTAAAGAATCTTGGGTTCAAGGGAAAATTTGCACGTACTGAGGACGCATTTTACGCAAGCAATTCATTTGTCACACACTGAGGAGGTTTTGAGTGAGAGTCTCAAAATGGACCATTCAGAAATGGATCTACGGATGTACTGTTGTTCCTAAGCTCATTTTGGAAAGTCCGATCAAAGAAAAATGACCAGTTGAGTTAAGACTATCAAAGTCAATATTTCTGCCTTGAAGCTGAAGCTTAGTGTTTCACAGGTGTGCTTGTTTTGATAGAGGTCTTAGGGTAGAAGATACCGGGATGATTACTAGTGGACGAAAGTTTTCTGAATATTGCGCCTAAACGTCTATCTCCACTTCGTTCCATGTTTAACCTTAGGCAGAAATTCATTCGCGATGATTTTGCTGGGTTAGGGTTTATTCTTCTGTATTGTTGGCTTCACTAGTATTGTGAAAGTTCATCCTAAGTTTACATTTTTTTCTCACAAATTACCTTATATATATACATGTATATATGTAAAGTTTGTATAGTATATAGTTGATTATAGTTTTTCATGTACATATATATATATATATATATACATATATGTACATATATATATACATATATTCATATATATATATATATATATCAGAATTTTTCTCAATTTTTCATTCAATTCGTAAACTCAATTTTTTTTTGTTTTTCGTTTTTTCTTAACAAGTATATATACTTATATATACACGTAGATATACATACAAGTGTATGTGTAATGCAGACTAGTTTATATGTACGTATATATATATATATATATATATATATATATACATGTAATATGGGATATAGTTTATTACTAATATGTAATTTTTTTGAAAGGAGAAATGAACAGTGAGGAGAGATTTGAAATAAGTAATCGCTGTTGGTTATCGCTGACAACACATATTTCGTACATAATACATGAACTTTGGAGTGATGGAGCAACGATACTCCTCCTAGTTGTGCCGATATAATATTACAGCAGAGGCACACTATTGCACGGTATATAAGTATTGATTTGTACCTTGTATCAGGTTAATATGCTGGGCGCACTGCTTATCTGTGATATCTTATTAGGTCATATTTATTTAGTCCTGTCCACTGGTTATAATATCCGAACAGTTCCACGAGGTCTTTCTTTTTTTCCACAGGGTTTTTCAAATACTGATGACTTACTTTGTGATTTAATATTGTATCGTTTTATTGTCCACGGACCTCACTCATGTGTGTTCGGGAGCCGACCAGTCGTAAGCACGTACATGGAACATTTCCGGGTGTTGGGTAGGAGGTTTAATGTAGGTCTAAAGCGATTGCGTACTAGCCATCACACACATGGGCTGATATCGTGGGCTTTCTCTTCTGTTGTACTTGATCTATACATTTCTTATGCGCTTCAAGTCAATGCATATATGTGTAGGTATTCTTTTTTTGTATGCGGATTCAATCATGTATATGGATCAATGAAAAGCTTACAGCCAAATGGAGAGGAAGTATGAGATATGTGGTGTTCGTCGAGGTGGCCACCAACAAATGAAGTGCGCATTCACTGGACGTGAGTTGAACAAGCAACCAATAAGTATGTGCAACACCCACGCCAGAGATTGACGAGGCAAATAGGGATACACTCACCCCCAAAAACCAGCAGAATAAGTGCGTTATACAAAAATTTCGTGCTCTGCGTTCCCTTTGAGCGGATAGAGTTTACCTGTCAACTCTGTGCCGCTGCAGGACGAAGAGAAATTTTCCTAGTGCCCTCTCAGATCATTCGATGATTAATGGCACTGCGAACCTACGACAGATGGACGTGATCGTACGCATAGTCTTTTACCGGGTCCTATAGTCTTTTCTCAAAACTAGCCATTTTTCACCGCCTAACCGTTTTTTTCACTGTAATTAGTGATTTGCGGTTTTCTGGCCATAATCCATGTAGCACTTTAATTGCTTTTTTCGATAAGAAAAATAAAACGCGTTTCGAGTTCGTTTGTTTTGTAAATTTTCATGTGGTCCAACAGTATTCACAAGTAAAGTGTCCTCTTTGTTGTTGATTAGTGATACGTATGCATGCGATAATGGTGAAATGTTGAAGCGCATTTTGCTAAATTTTGAATAGCACTGTGAGATTTGATGGTCATCGTTCTTACCACTATGTCTTCGTCTTCGTCTTCGTCGTCGTCGTCATCGTTGTTGCTGTTGTTGTTGCTGTTGTTGTTGTTGTTGTTGTTGTTGCTGCTGCTGCAGCAGTTCTGTCCAGTTCTTATGAGAGGCGAATTTTTAGTTGTTACTTGATGAATAGATAGCTTAAGAAGTACGTGAATCGTTTACGTCAACTAACAAAACTCGTAATTGGACGTATTACAAGGAACGCTTCGAACCCACTATTTCTGTAAGAGATTTCGAGAAAAGTTTCTATGAGACAGTGGAATTACTGCTAGAAATCTGACTATTTATTGCTGTAAAGTATTCGTTTTTTGCTTCTTTAATATAACAGAGTCTGACCACCAGTGTTCTGTGTTGGAGGAAATTTGCTCTGCTAGAGGTTGATCGGGGTCGAGCTCGTATAGTGAGCGAGCGGGTCGTGGGGGGATGTCGCGTGCTGCACTTCAACGATGCCCCGCCTCTCTCGCATCGCATTCTCATTTACTACTTGGCCGTCGCTCGCTCCCATACTCCCTTTTGCCCGCTCTGACCACTCCCATCCCCTGCTCTCCGCTCCCCGTTCCCACACATAATGTCCTGCGACGCCGCCTTTAATATCGTTTGGTTTTGACGCAATCAGATTGATGATAGCCATACCAGCTGGTTATCTGAAAGCTTGTTTTGACCCACATAATGGTGCATTACTTGTTCATCTTCTTACAATCGGATTCACTTCTTGTCAAGTGAGCGTTCCTATTCCGAGTAGAGGCGCTTTTTTTGTAACCTTGCTCAAACTGTGACATTGTGCGTTTCCTAAACGCTAACGTTGCGTGATTTTATGATTGCACGTTTTATGTTTGGGCCAAGCTTGCGCAGTTGAACAACAATATCGAGGTGATATTGTACAATGAAATTTGACGTTTATAAAATGACCACACTGCGTGGTTTTGCCGACTGGTAACTGAGGTTTTGTAGGAATATCCCCTTACAAGAGCCAAGATGCTGATGGTAATCCACGATAGCTACAGTTGGTTCGACATTGCTCTACATCCACTACTTTTTTTTGTACCAGTTTGTGAGTAACCTTGCTCATTTATCTTTCCATTAATTTTCTCTTCAGTTTCTTGCGGTGTTTATCTGTTATATTGCGTGGCATTTGTCAACCGTGTGGTGCAAACGAGCCATCTGCCATGAGTCATCCAGTGTAGTTCATAGCCTAGAGTGGCTTTGCACGGAGGATTTCATAGATTTTTGGGACTGGTTGTAGAAACGGAAACATCATTTCGATGTATGGTTGTTTTCTCTCTGACCTTTTGTCCGTCCTTCCTTCTTCGTATTTTTTGTTTCCATTGCCTTTTCGTTGCAAATGTTTCTGGATTTATGTTTCAGAAAAAAGAAAACCAATTACGCACGCAACTTTCATTACTTCTTGAGTGTTATCAAGAATGTGAACAATGTGTTAGAAAAAGGAGCGAAATTTTTATTACCGATTCAAGATGAAAAAAATTTACCGGTAACGCGTCGTCCCTTTGTCCAAAAGCAGCCTGTTTTTCATGAAAATAAGAATCATTTGGGCGTGAATTAGCAATAATGGGAGGGGAGGTGCACGGCCCTGATTCGATCACCTCCCAAACGCTCTCCCTCAATTCACATGGGAACGTCTTAGCTCGGCTTTGTCCAAGATTGCAACTGAAACCGACTCGACCTGCATTCGAAGAAGACGAAATCCTCAAGCAGCAACCGAAACAACACGCGAAATATTCAAAACCTTTGCGTACGATGAATGCGAGGAAAACGAATCGAATGCGAGAAGTGCTGGTAGGTGCAGCCGAACAGTATATGTGATGACGGGTCATGTAGTAATGCTAATACTTTAATAATAATGAAGTAGAAGTAATATCGATGTTAACACCAGTGGTCACAGCATTGGAAGTCTAAAGTGGTTTCGTAGAGTGGAACTGATGGTTTCTTATCGAAAACGTAAACAACCGACATCATATGTGCGAAAAGAATTGTTGTTTAATGGCATCGGATGACGTCGTCCAAGCAACGTTTACGTTATTCTCTCATGTTGTGATCGATGAACTTTCTGCGAATTTCGGAGTATTGCCGCGAACGTGTCCTATCATGTTTTCGTCGATTTACTAGAACAATCACTTCCTAAGTGAACAGTGCTTATCGTTTTTTATAGAGATTGAATCGGATGTTTCTATGTGGGAAGTCTGGCTCACGATTGGAATTACTCAAATAGACTTTCTTTCTGCACAAGGTAAAACGCTACGGTTTCGTTTCGAAGTTGTATTTCGGGCGACCACTCATGGATTGGTTCGCGGGACGAAGCACATTATCAGAATGTAGCAAAATTCAACGAAAAGAAAGAGATTAACGAAGTGTTGATGTAAACATAGGAATTGTGATGAAGTTGGACTCTATTCCTGTACAACAAATGCGATGGGAAGCGTTCACTAATTAGCGTGGGAGTTGGATCGATTTCCTCTTGATAATCTCTTTGTCTTAAAACTTAATTAGTTCGCCGTTTTTCTTAGTGAGGTAGAAAATAGATACCCAGAATGTCTTTGTTCAATGGCAGCGTGCGGATACAACTCGTTTCTGAGGTTTCTGCACATTTATGCTTGCTATCTGAAGTGTTGTTGTAGTTGCACCTGAAACTATGTTTACTCCCAGAACGTATATTCATAAAACTATATTGACGTAAAAAATTGTTTTTCTTTCTTTAAAAAAGTGTTTGGGTCAACATTGCCAGGTTTTTGGCCTGGGAATAAGGTCATCTGGGGCCAGTGATAGTATGCGCATCCGGTTTTTAATCTCAACAAATATCATGGATACTTTTTTGCAACATCGTATTCGTAGCTGAAATATTCGAAATACCCTCAGGCGATTGCCTTCGCATGGATGCTTTTCGGCTTATTGAATTGGCCGTAATTCTTCTGATTGTTCAAATATGGCCGCTAGAAGCAGGAGAGCTTAACATGCTTGAGTGTGCGTGCGTAAGTACTACTCAGATAGGACTTCCAGTATCCATAGGAGTCCGGGCTTTGTATAGGAATATTTGCAAACGTGCAGGGTTTGAATTTTCAACTCCTTTTAATGTTAAGCTCTACAGCACATCAACTCTCAGAAAGCATTTCATATGCTCCACTTATGCTCCCTTTTCTAGCACTGTGATGATCTCTTCTTCCTTAATTCTTTTCCTCGAAAGTCCTAGTGCTAAATTCACATACCAATGGACTAAAATCTCAAAAATGAACAGTGATGATATTCCTTTTTACTCTTTCCTTTTTTTCCTGCACAGATCTAGTGAGTGAAGTAATTAATCTGAAAAAAACCAATTCTGGCCAGTGTGCATATCCACTCATGTCTACGACTGGACCTTAAGTGCAACTTAGTACTAAAATGATTTGATTAGTTTGTGTTGTATTATGACATATTGGTGAAAAGCCCATCTTTGGTCGTACAAACAATTAAAATGAAACTAGAAAAAAGCCTTATCACATTCGTTTGTAGAGAGGTATTCATTTTCATTTTATGTGGCTCTCTCATGGTCTATTCTCCTGTGCGATCATCTGGCATGTGCTGCTGATCATCTCGAAATCACCGAAGGCGAAGCGTTCACGGCGAATGATTTTCGATGACGCCTGGTGTTCGTAGTCGGTTTAGTTTTGGCAAAAATTTCGATTCATTCAGGATCGAACTGATACATATAGAAATCGATTTTGACAACAATGAACAATTTTTGAACTTACCTATTCATTTATTTATCTATCTAGTAAAGGTCATGTATTACTTCTATCCTAACTTTTTCAAAATGAGAAGATTTTGTTCAAAGATTATAACCTTAAAAATTATCTATAATTGAAATTTTATTCTCCTCAAAAGTACTTTGAGAAAACAGAAGTATCTAGATGTTCACATTTTATTTAAACTTAGTATGCTTGAACTATACATTGAATTGAACCTAAACCCTAGGTCTCATAAGTTTTTTTGAAAACAAACTTTCAGTAGACTTCGGTCAGAATATCCAGTAGTTTCCTATATGATTCAGCTGACATGAGGTTGGTATAAAAAACTTCTATTTGGCTAACGTTTCGGCGTTTTCGCCTTCTTCATAGCCACTTGTTCCGGGTCAATGGTCCTAAACTGGTCGGTGTGGTTATGTGGGTGTTCGTAGTCGCATCAAATGGAATCCGTTTTTCGAGCGGTTCTCTCCCTACTGGATTCGATTCGATGCAACTACAAACAACTACGGCGCCACAATGACAGCTTGGGGTAATCGACCGGGATCAGTATGGCTCTGAAGAAGGCGAGCGCGACGAAATGTTAGCAGAGTAAAAGTTTGTTGTGCAAACCTTGTGTCAGTTTCATCATATAGAAAATTATCTCATAAATCTTATTTTGTGATATTCGTAAATCTTCTGGAGACATCGTAAGAGGTTTACGAGAAACTTAACCTCGATGCATAAAGGTCTTACATTTTTTTCTAGTGTGTGAAAAAATCAGATATTATGTTTTTAGGGGGATGGGCAAAATGGTTGACAGTGAGCACTATAGTGATCGGCAGCATCACCTATATGGGTTACTTGGTGACACCGGATTGGCGAGAAATTGTTGACAGCAAGCACTACTATTCAAATTGGAAGGTTTGTTGTTTTCTTTGTTTTGTTTTTTTTTACTATTTGTTTTAATAGTTCATTCATCGACCAGCGCAAGCAGTGATATCTATTTGAAAATCAATATCTTGACTCGTTGATAAGGTAACAGATGATTGATAAGTGTCAATTTATCGTGACTGACGCTCCGGTGGCAAGATGTTATCATCGAACCCACAGTAAATTTGAGTGGAATGATCAGTGAGTGACATTTAGGAAATGGTCTAAAAAAATATTAATGCATAAGATTTTTGAGGACATTTTACTAGATACGAATCGCTTTTTTGGTTTTTACAAAGGCGGTGTTTGATTAGGTGAAATCTAAAAAGAACTGTGCAGCAGAAAGTCCGCTGGGATTTTTTTTCGCAATAGTGAAGCATTTCATAGAAGCATCAATAATCAGCAGTTTGGAGGTTGGAAGTTTTGGAACAGAGGTTAAGTATTTGGAAGCAAAAATGATGTTTTGCATCAATCAGTTGAACCGCTGGAATAATTTCTGGTCTGAAGTCATTCGTTGATATAAGTCATCAGCTCGTATCGTGATTATCTTGGTGATTAGGTTACGATGTTGTTTTGTGGTAAGTCAAATTCCTTTGACACATCACACTAAGGATATACCAGCTTTATTGCATCGATCTCACCCCGACCTTCGTGGAAATACACAAAAGTTGAGTTGATGAAAAAGCAGCGTAGCACAGTTCCCTAACTACTATCTTGAAAATTAACGTCGATGAGTTTAGCGAAATATTTTTGAAATGACGCAAAACAACGAATAAAACGAGTTTTGGGAAGATGCATATCTCTTTAAGAAATTAAGTCCTGTATGGTCATTATAGTGTCCACATTCAGTTTAATTGCTTTCAGAGTTTTTTTTCACTCTTTATATTCACTCGGCAGCTAATCGGAAGATTAAAATGGGAGAATGAGACCAAAAAGACCATTTCCTACACTTAATGGTTTACAATGAACCTTTCTTTAAAAAAAGTTAAATAACCAGCACTTTGACTAACAATTGAGTATTATTTCATTTTTAACAATATACTCATTGTATAAAATATGTGGATATGAAGAAACCGAAAAGGACTGAATAATGTGAACTGCAAAATACTTTCAAGCACTGACAGCAGTCCATTGCATAATGGAACATAGTTACGCACGGTGAATGGTAGCATACGAATCATTCATGTCTATAGAGCGACAGAGCGAAGTTTTCTCTACAATTCTGTCGTGTTCAGAATCCCTAAAGCACTATAATTATTGAAAAACATTTTTTATTGTCAAAGGGGAAAAAAGTTTGCAGCCGACGAAAAACTGCGCGTGTTTTATTGGGCCAGCCGTGCAAAACGGTGCTGCGACATTATGCCTTACTGTGTCTAACAACATATGCTCCGGTATAGGAAATACTTCATGGTTGGATTTTGTTTACGTTACTTTGTTCATATGTTTTTGAGTTTTGAGGCTTTATCAAGTATCCTCAATCATTTGGCGCTAATATTTCGGGATTTTTTTTTGGTTACGACTTTTTGCATCTGTCGCCTTTAAGTGAAATTCGGTTGGCTCAGAAATGATGTTATTCTCTTTCGATTCGATTTTCTCTCAAATTTGGTGTTTTCCTTTTTCTTGCAGGAATTGGTAAGTAGAAATTTCTTGTTTCTGTAGAATGTGCTCTTCTCTTTACAGAGGCAAAGGAAGGCAGGGAGAGAGAGGGAAAGGAAAAGGGAAAGAAAGAAAGAAAGAGGGAAGGAGATAGAGATTGGTTGGCAGGTCGCTTTTAATGGCTTGTGACATTATTGCAGCAGCATTACAATTATGTGTCAAAAAAGTAGATGTCATTGTATTGCAGCTAGTTGGTGTTTGTAGTGGTTACTGGGACATCTCAGTGATATTTAGGACACCAAAAGCGAGAAAAAAATAAGAGTAAAGAACGATTGGGTTTGCACCGATATCTAGGAATTTTCGTGAGCGATATAAAGTGGCGTGTTATATTTTTGTCGGGGCAACAACGAAATGGTGATAAAATGCAACGCTTCTGTAAAGTATTGTTATATGAACATTGTATTATTATGGGATCCATTGTGTTGTTTACAGCCTGAGTGAACGTTAGTAAATGTCAATACTGGCGTGCTGGATTTAGTTTTTCTACCTACTCGGTATTCTGTGTACTCGCTAATATCTATTTTTCATGTTTTAAATTGTGCGAGTTTAATCGATATTACTGGGACAAACAAGCTAGATGTACATTTGAAGTTAGGATTGGAATAAGAGGTTGCTAAAACTGTCTGTCAGTTAATGAAAGAGTACTAGTCTGAGCGTATTGCTGCCAAGCAGAACGAATCCATTTCGTTTACTAGTGGATATCTCGTTCTCAGTCGAGTTGTTCACCATTTGAGCTGTCACTCAAATCTCGGAAACACTGCTCACTTATGGGCTTCGTGATCCTTCTATGGTTTTCTGTGGACCATTTAAACTAGGTTCCACGTTTTTTCTTTTGTGAGCAAGAACTCATCTGGAAAATCTATTTTTGTGTTTTGTTCGGTGAAAACAGCATCGCATCATAGTAATGAAGTGCGTGAGGTCTATTGTTGTGCAACTAGCACTTCCCATTCCGATTATGTGATGAGTCAGCGAGCCTTTGAAAATAGCGTTAAGTTCATTCCGTGATGGACTGGTGATGTATCGTTGTTGTATGTTAGTAATTGAAACAGAAATCAATCAACAGTTGTCGCGTGAGATTGGGTGTATTTTTAGTCGAAAGTGTAGACCAGTCAGATTAACATATTCTGGACGACATCGCTCGTACATGGCTCATAAAGAGCAGAAACAAGTCTGGTCTTGAACCGTTTTACAGAAATGCACTTTGATTTCAATGTGTGCACTTCTGTACGTTTCGGACCCCACATCTTGATTTCAGTGCGCATTTTAATTGTGCTGCAATGAGAAGCGGTTCGACGAACCTGACACGCGGAAATGGCCACGGTCGTGGAAGGGTTTAATTTTTGAAGAAGCATGTCTCATCGTATAATGAGCTTAATGGAAGAACAACGTTGTCGTTGTTTAGTATTGCTCAGATTGCGTTCAGAAAAATTACGGATTTTGTATTGTTTTTAACCCTTTGAGAAGTGGATTTCTAGAAAGGTCTAAACTTATTGGGAAAAAAAATCCGAAGTTATGCCGTTAAAAGAACTTGACACTTATTAAAAGACATGTGTCGTCGGCGAATATTATGCTTGTTCGCCAATTACATGTGGTACTAGAAATGGTTGTCTTATTTACCATTGGTATTGATGAGGAGAAAAGTTTAAACCTAACAATTCAAAACCTTTAGTACTATTCTATAGACATAACTTATTAGGGTTTAGACAGCCTTAGTAGGTTTAGAGCGTTAGTGTAAAGTTGAGATGTTTTTGAATGATTTCGAGTGACATTGCAATTTTCATATAGTAGAAGAGAAGTCAAAATGCTAAGAGCCATGATTTTTCCGAGATGATTTTATGACTGAGTCATTTAATTGAAAAGGAATTAGAGAATGAAGGTCATGAATCGGTTCAGCACCCGTGTTCCACAAATATCTCTGGGCCACATCGACGTTAGATTTCTATTGATTTTAGTTATCGTCCTTAAAGGCTTCTATTTTCTTATCTTTTGAAAGACTTAGTGCAGGTAAATGTTATTCATTACATCTAGGCACGAATCGTTACCAACTGTTGATAAGGGTTAGATAGTAATGAGATTACTGTACTACTTAAAGAAATTTCTAAAAAAAATCGTCGAAAGAAGTAAACCAGTGAAGTATACGCCATTTAAGGGACTCCTTTTCGATAATACTATCAAATCGATACCGTCGTTACGAAAGCCCATATCAGATATCGATCTTGAGTTGATATTCGTGAACTTAATGCTTTCTTTTACAAGTTTTTACAAGTTTGCACTATGAGGTTCTCTTATATATTTGATCTCCAACAAATTACTTATTCGTGTTTAGTTGAGGAAATTTTATATGCTTGCGAAATTGTGAATAACCGAACATTTCTTGAGCTTATTTGAACGGCAGCAATTATTCCTAGGAATTAGTACGAGATGTTTGCCTGGCACCGACAGGTGACTCACTCCTGTCAAGAATTTGCTGTCAGTCCTTGGCACTTTGCAACCTCTTCTATGTTTTTCTTATCGTCATTAATTAATGTTACTAATAGAATGCTAATTTTTTATTTTCTGCCTACCATAATTTTTCACCCAAGTTTGAGGAAGACCGAGCGAAGGATTCGTGGCCGAAAACACACCTCCCTTTGATGCACAACGTGGTGAAGACCTGGATACGCCCGTGCAAGGTTACGTCAGGACTCCAGGGAGGTCCAAGTTGCACGATCAGCATTAGGCCAAGCCTCAGTATCCCGCACACTGGATGTTCCCGTCTATGACGTCAGGCGGTGAGACGACCGGTGAGAGGCCAGAAGATCACGGGTTACGCAGTACGTCATTGGAAACGGATCTGCCGAACAAACGCACGACACGTCATGGAGATTGTTTCTTACTATGCACGTATAATGCCAGAACACTCTCCCCAGACGCCGATCTTCACGCCCTTCTTGTAGGCGCAGATCGCCTTATATTCCATGTGATCGCATTACAAGAAACAAAAATTAAGAAAACCAACATACGCCAACTAAACAACGGGACCCTTGTGATCCGTGGAGAAAAGGTCCCGTCACGAAATGTCGGTGGCGTAGGTTTTGTCATCCACCCGTCCATTGTCCATCTCATCGATTCATACGTGACCCTTTCCCCTCGCATAGCCGTCCTTCGTCTACAACTATCGCATCATAAGAAGATCACTATCATCAACTGCTACTCACCGACCGACACAGCTGATAAGTACGAATTAAATGCGTTCTACTACCAGTTGGAGGAAGTCGTCCGCAATAAAAAGCATATTATGAATTTGTTGTCGGACACTTCAATGCCAGAATAGGAAAGGCCAACGAGAGCGAATACAGGATCGGAAATTTCGGATTAGGAGAAAGAAATAAGAATGAGAACCGTCTCGCAGGACTCCTGTCAGCAGCACGTCTCTTCCATGGGAACTCGTTTTTCCAGGAGAAAGGAAGCCGCTGGTGGACATGGGGGCCTCCCAACGGCATTACTCATGCGGAGATCGATCATATTTTGACAAACAGAAGATGGTGCCTATTTGACACATCGGTAGTCCGGTCATTCTGTGCGATTTAGCGGCAAGCTGGAAAAAAAACTCTCTTCATCGAACACGAGGAAAAATTCTAGCTGTATACGACGAGAACATTCCGAACGAACTCCTATCCAAACGTGACTGGCAGATTAAAGAAGACCCGACTGAAGACTACGAGCTGGTTGTCGAAGAACTGAAAAATTGTACCGAGTTAGCTTCAGTTCATCAAGCAAGAAGATCGGATCGCATCTCCTTCACTACTATGGAGTTGCTCGAAGAGATGGAAACTGAAGCTTGATCCTACTGCAACACGTTTAAAATGGCTAGTAATAAATGCCAGCTGCAGAAGAGCTTTGCACGAAGATCTACAACGGTTCAAGCGGAAGAAAATACTGGAAGCAGCAGAGGAAAGAAGCAGCCTGAAAAAAGTGCTGTCGGGACTTGTGTGATTATAATGTTCCGTTGTCAGCCGTGATGAACGAAGATGGTCGTCAAGACTTCCCCTATAATATCCTTTTCCGTTCCACAATCCCCGTCCCGGACTTTAATATACCCGNAATTCTAGCTGTATACGACGAGAACATTCCGAACGAACTCCTATCCAAACGTGACTGGCAGATTAAAGAAGACCCGACTGAAGACTACGAGCTGGTTGTCGAAGAACTGAAAAATTGTACCGAGTTAGCTTCAGTTCATCAAGCAAGAAGATCGGATCGCATCTCCTTCACTACTATGGAGTTGCTCGAAGAGATGGAAACTGAAGCTTGATCCTACTGCAACACGTTTAAAATGGCTAGTAATAAATGCCAGCTGCAGAAGAGCTTTGCACGAAGATCTACAACGGTTCAAGCGGAAGAAAATACTGGAAGCAGCAGAGGAAAGAAGCAGCCTGAAAAAAGTGCTGTCGGGACTTGTGTGATTATAATGTTCCGTTGTCAGCCGTGATGAACGAAGATGGTCGTCAAGACTTCCCCTATAATATCCTTTTCCGTTCCACAATCCCCGTCCCGGACTTTAATATACCCGTTGGAGAAAAAACCTGGAATTCCTCCGTCGGAGGTTCGAGTTGCGATAGAAAACATAAAAAGAGGCACAGCTCCAGGACCAGATAATATCACTGCCGATTTCCTTAGAGTTGGAGGCCACAATTTACATGTACTTCTCGCAAATCATATGACAGGCTACTTTCAAAAGGAGAAAATCCTAGACCAGTGGAGGACGTCGCGCACGGTTATCCTACCCAAGAAAGGAGACCGAAGGAATCTTCGTAACTGTTGTCCCATATGCTTGTTATGTGTACTCTACAAGCTCTTCACGAAGATTGTCTTCTCGCACATATCAATGATATTGGATGAGACGCAACCAGTCGAGCAAACAGGATTTCGAAAAGGATTTTCCTGTATGGACCACATGCAAACCGTGTCTAGGGTCATCGAAATTTGTCGGGAATACCACTTGGCTCTAGTTCTAACCTCTGTCGAGTATGAGAAAGCGTTTGACAGTGTCGAAACGAATGCAATCCTATCAGCGCCCGTCGACCAAGGAGTGGACCCGTCCTAGATAAGGACTCTGTCCGATTGTTATCGGAACTGCACTACGAAAATACAGCTTTTCCATCGACCTCTTACAATACCCATAGGAAAAGGGGTTCGACGGGGCGACACAATATCGCCAAAGCCGTTCAATGCCGCACTGCAGTGGATAATGAAGTCACTCGGTTAGGATGAGAGAGACATACGTATTGGTGGAAAATGCCTATCAAACCTTCGTTTTGCTGAAGATATTGTCATGTTCTCAAGACGTACTAGCGAAGCAGAGGTGATGATCAGCGAGCTCAACGAAGTGGTCGGACTTCGCATAAATCGAAGGAAGACCCGGTTCATGAAGAACCCATGGTGCGAAGGCGAAAAAATTGATTTGGATGTGATATCTCATTGCAGTAACCACCTCGTACGCTTACCTTGTGCGATCAATGAACGCGGAAAACAACATGAAAGAGGAACTAGATAGAAGAGGGAGAGCAGCTTTGGCTACATTCGGGTCTCTCAAAGAAGCCACCGACCAACTGAAGGACCCGAAAATCCGCGCTTATCGCTTTGATTCTACGGTCCTCTAAGCGCTCTGTTATGCTGCAGAGAGGTAGGTTGATACTTCATCTACATCAGGAACGCCTCGAACTACTCACAGAGCGCTTGAGAGATGTCTTCTGAAATATAACCGGCACACTCAATATGTAGCTGGAATATGTAGCCTGACCTTCGAAATCTGTCACATCTTCGAGATTCATCGACAGCGAAACATAGATGGGTCGGTTACATAATGAGAAGAGCCGACTACAGATGGACGAAAAGAACAGTAGAGTGGACTCCAAGAGAATGCAAACGTCCTCTTGGACGACCACCTACACGTTGGGCTGTCGTGTTCGTAAACAAAGTTAATCAGCTGTACCCGCAGCTTCAGTTGTTTTACAGATCACGGTATGAGACTTACAAGCGCTGCCATGCTCGAACAAGATCACCACCATGGACTACAATTGCGAGAGAAGGGAACGAATGGCATATCTGCTGGGGTCCGCTCAGCTCGTGAAGACGGACCGTTCAACTATCCAAGTAAGTATAATTTTTCACGGCAGTGTATGATGCGAAACCACAGTGATGCTGAGGTATTTGCAAAACTCGCGTTAACCACTACATGAGGGTCCTTCGTTTCGCGTATCTCTCAGTTAGTTAGATCGTTAATAGATTTATTCTTATGACAACATAATTTTATCGATTTTTGGTAGTTATGGAGATTTTCTGTCGTTTGTCGTTGGGAAGGAATGTTTCTATCATTAATGCATTTCGCTCTGTCATTCTGTCGGTGTCATTCTGAAATGCCACTATCGCTAAGTGTCAGGGTTTTGTGCAAAATTGTCACTGATGATGTCAAAAGAAGCGAAAATGTTGACGTAAATTCGATTAGCAAGAGGACAAACTGTTGAAGGTCAAAGAAAGAACAAAGAAGACCTTCATATTTTGTTTGAATTTCACCAAAATTGAGTCGTTCTTGTAATATTACTGCTGTTCAGATTTTTAGGGGAACTTCACTTGGAAATGATTGGTAATTCTTCGCAGTTGTTTGAAAACGAACTATGGCAATGATAACCACAGCGATGCTGAGATATTTGCAAAACTCCGGACCGCATGTTTCTGCAGTGAAGATCGAGCACACTATTACCCTTTCCGGGGGCTAACGTGTTCACCACCACACCAAGTGGGGTCCTTCGTTTCGCCTTTCAACTAGTTTTCTATCTACTAGTGCCATCAGCAATCAACCATCAACAGTATTGATCTGGTGAGTGTAAATCGGCTTTGAACTCAGTTAAGTTGAGGCTGTAGTCGAAATCACAACGTTACTGGAAAACCACCGTAAAGGGTAATATCGTGTTCGATCCTTACCGCAGACACCTGTGGTCTGGAGTTTTGCAAATATCTCAGCATCCTTGTAATTTCATCTCATACAATACCCTCCCTTTATAAATTGTAGTAGGCGATAAATAAAATTTTAACGTATGGCGATTATAGATGAAGAATGTTCGAGAGATTTTACAACGGAGGCGATTAAATATTATACATTGGGGAAGTTTTGTTTCGTAATGAATGGCACAAAAGAGCAGAAGTGGAGGAGGTTTTAAAGTATGAAATGATTTTTGAATGATTCCAAGAATTTGTTTTCTGTGAGGGTTGCTGTGTCTGGAATAGTTTTCATTCACTTGCTAGTGGTTTGTGTTTTACGGCTTTTAGTTTTTTTAAGGTGTTCATCAGATTTTTTCCTGAATCAAAAGTCGATTACATCTTTATTGATTGTCGTTAGAACATAACTATGTATAAATATATATATATATATTTATAATACTGAAGACGTTAAAATTTTCTACAACGTACACCGAGCTTGCCGTTTTGTGGTTGATCGCTCGAAACCAGTTGTTTTCAGATCCGAACTTACTTGTCACTACCATTCAATGCAGCATCTCGTCTCGTTGGGGGCATAGCGAATAAAGAAATTCCAGTCTGGTTGCGGGAACCACTTCTTGGATTTTTCGCTCGAATGTACGACTGTCGAATGGACGAAGCGGTTCAGCCTGATTTGAAAGTGAGTCGGTGGTTTAAACATATTGGATACCATGAGATGTACACCAAAATTGTGTTCGGCCATAATAGTTGGTAATGCATTGCGGTAACAACGCATACCGCTTAAATCACCTTGTAATCTGGTTGAAATCGTGCACGGCTGGCTGTACCGGTTTTAGCCAGGGTGTTTACCCGTTAACAATACGGCATAGTTTATCCTGAAGGTAATCCATTATTAGTAGAAGGGAGCGAAAAAAGTTTTCTGCAAAGTATGCAATTGATTCAAAACGTAAAAATTGCGTTTCTTTGTCAGTTTAGCTTTTCCACACTACATGCGCTGATGTATGACATGTTCAGCAACACCGCTATGTTCTGTGCGCTTGGACAGTGTTTTAAGCATGGTGGTGTTGACGTGCTATCATTGCCAATTTGTATTTGCTATATTTCGATGGAGTAGAGAGCATAGAGAACACATGGCAACTGGATTTTTTTTTTTATTAAGTTCTTATATTCTTTCGTATTTCATTTTCAGCTTTCTGTTTAAGTCCTTAATATTGGGAGTTACTGACTGCTTTTTCTGAGACGTGTTCGTTGAATTTATTTGATTATCGATGCGCCGTTTTTTATGGGCAGAGCGAAGAACATTCTTTATGAATTATTCTCGATACGGAAGACTTTCAGGCGTGAATATGTGTTATTCGTAATCTTTCATAGGGAAAAGCGCCTTTGACCTTTGGATGTTTTAGAATCATGTGAATAATTCCAGAGGAAAAAGCAGCAGGAACTAGCTGTCTTAAAACATGTTGGTGCTTTTGGTGTCATGTTCGTCATCCACATTTAATTGGATCACTAAGTATCTGTGAATGTTTTGCAGAAGATATCATAATCTGTGTACGATCAGGGTTTGTCAATAGACATGGTTACTGTGGTATTTTTGGATAGTGTATCACGTGTATCACTAGTCATCTCGTTGGTCGCCGAATGACTCGAGCGGATGCCAGTAAATTTTTCTCCGTCACATACAAGGCTAGCCCAATATGTTCTGTTCGCTCTGCGAACTCGTTGAGCATCATATCCTTATTCTAGAGTCTTTGTGAAGAGCTGTGTCCATCGGGTCGGACATTCTTTAGCACGTTATATCCCGAGAAAACCAATCACTAACCTCTCTGTCTATCGGTTGTCGTCCATACGAATTACGTATTTTAACCACCCTATCTTCGACAGTTTGTCGTGGAGAACAACGTCTTCGATTTCTAATCGTTAACGGAGGTCGCAACTTCGCATCCCTTCCCTAACTTGCGTGATACAAGATACTCCTCACATGGTCCTCCTAAATAGTGACCAGGTTAATTCTGGAATGAATCATCCTTTGTTGAAAACCAATTTTTGTTCTAATAAACTGCATTACCCACTAACGATGTGTTTCCTGTGGAGACAACTGGCTTGTCAACCATATGATGTGAGCTATAGTAGTTGTTAGTCGAATAGCCAGTGATGTCGCAGTTATTTCTAGGCCACAAACGACTGGATCTAGTCATTTCCCCGGATAATGTCTTGGTGACGGGATATTTACTTAGGAAGCGCTAGGGTTGATTTGGTGATTGAGAGAAGTTCCTGTGATAAATCAGCAATAGTAGTAGTAGTAACGGTATTCACTAA